GAACTCCATTCACATATGTTCTTTATGTTCACGCGCGCTCATTACGTTCGTTCATGTTCATTACGTTCACGTGCGTTTGTTATGTTCAGATGAACTCCATTCACATATGTTCTTTATGTTCACGCGCGTTCAGTACGTTCGTTAATGTTCATTACGTTCACGTGCGGTTGCTATAATGTTCAGATGCACAACATAATGTTCACGTATGTTCTTTATGTTCACATGCGTTCATTACGTTCGTTTACGTTCAGATACACACCAGTATGTTCACGTATGCTCTTTACGTTTGCATGCGTTCATTACGCATAGATGTTCACTTGTGTTCACATTCACATGCGGCGCACTTTCGTCTTTCCCTTTCTACCTGCAAATAACACTATTCTTCACCAACCCTATCGGTTATCGCCAACGTCACCGGCTATCACCAACGTCAGTGGCTATCGCCAACGTTAGAGCCGCAGCCGCGACGTAGGCAGACAACAGAATCACACACTACTCCTTCACGACACGTGCACGGTCGAACTCGTTTATAACGGTCACTCTAAGGTAGTGTCCTCTACAGACAGGTGTTTGTTCCAGACAGGTGGCCACTAACACAGGTCTGACTGTAAATCTACCGTTCCGATATATACGCGCGTGCGTGCGTGCGTGCGTGCGTGCGTGTGTGCGTGCGTGCGTGTGTGTGCGTCTGCAGGGCCGTAGCCTGCGGGTTGCAAGGAGGCAGCTGCCCACCTAGATTTTGGAGCAAAATTAAAAAAATAAATTGTTCTACTTAAAGAGAATTGTCGTAGTCAGAATGAAGGCTGTACATGTACTCAAAAGTGCCTCAAATACCATCTCCTGCAATCTACATTTTCAAAATTTTCTGTGGAAGGGCCCCCAGACTCCTCACCCTTTTCTCACCCACTGCTTTAAATCCTGGATCCGTCACTACCCCCCCCCCCTAGGAATTTGCTCAGCATACGGCTCAGTACTCTGGTCTGTGATAAATCATAGTGCGGACGTCGCCTAGATCTGCACACGCACACACGCACGCACGCACGCACGCACGCACGCACGCACNTAATCATAATCCTAATCTAAACCATAACCCTAAACGCTAACCCTGAAATGCTGTAAATTATTGACCTTTAAGCCTCTAGCCACTAACCGAAACCCTACAATTTCCCACCACTTTCCAACCCACCCTTATACGAACTCCAACTCTTTGATAACGATAAACCTGACCCGTAGAACCAGTTAGCTCTAACCTAATCCTACACCTATACAGCCTAACCCGTAGGCCGTAAACGGCTAAACCTCAACGCCATTAACACTAACACTCAACAGCACGCAAACCTAACCTTAACCCCTAACCGCCGCAGAACAGCACCACACACAAAACACAACAACACAACACCACACACCACTAAACCACGGACAGCCACACAACAACGCAAACCTATACCATAGAAACAACAAAACGAACCTCCGCCGAACCGCTAACCCTAACCCTAACCCGCCCAACCCTAGACCCTCACTAGACCCCTAACCCTGAACAACATAACACTAAGCACGAAACCCCGCACGCCGCCCAGCGCCACCACACTAAATCGCACCAGATGGCACAACCATCCGATACTGGCGGCTGGGGCCACGCAAACACCACATCATACCAGTACATCGATCTGACATAGCGAGGCAATCAACAGTCCAGTTAGAAAGCTCACAACAGATCTCGACCACTGACGCGACCACCCATTTTCTCCCAGCAGACGTACAGTCGATCACCATAAAGTAGCACGGCTGGATTGATTAACCCTCTCACCAATCCATTTCCCAGCTCGACCCTTCACCTCACTCTATCACCACTCGCGCATACACGCGCACAACGCGGGCGACCCGCACCTCTCGACGCAACGGCAACACAGCCCTTCTCTTCCTCCTTCCCTCCCCCCTTCTGCCGCTTGACTCCTCCCCTTGCCACGCCCTCCATCACTCTCGTCCTTCCTCTCCCTATCGCCCACCCCTACTACCAACCATCTACCACTCAAGCCAGTCCCACCACTACTATCCTACACCTTCCCTCCCGCTATCCTCGCTCCTCCGCCCTCCCCTGCCCCTGCCCGATCCTCCCCGCCCCTGTTTCTCCTAGCCCCTCCCCCTCCTCCGCCCGGGACATCGTCAGCCCGCGGTATTGTAAATCGAGTTGATCGGCCTACGGATGCCGCGCTCGACGCAGTCGAGCGGACCCGTGCGGAATTGTAGCGTGGTATTATTGCGAATATTGGTATACCGTTGGCGATGTGGTGCGTCCGCACCGCGCAGTGCGTGCCGTGGCGTGCGGTGCGTGCGTGTGTGTGTGTGTGTGAGTGTGTGTATGTGTGTCTGTATCTGTTGTCGTCCGTAGTGGTGTGTGTGCTAGTGCGCGGCATGTATGTGTGGCGGTTACGATAATCTAGTTAGTCTACTTAATACATATCTAAGTAACCCAGCGAGTTGACATGCACGTCTCTCTAGTATCTGACTACAATGCCACAAAACAACGCTAACACACACACAGCACAACCGACAGACGCTCAACGAGACCACACCACATAGGACTCGATATTGACCACCGCGACCACGCACAACCCGGAAGCATGCTATAAGCTACCCAAGCCACCTGACGACACGCAACATATAATCTTCAACTCATGTCGCATGGTCTACATCAAACATCGCCATCCCACGATCACATCATCATCATCATCAATCATCCATCATCATGCAATCAGATCAATATCAATCATCATTCATCTCACTACGCCGGCACACCATCAGCACACGATCACATCCATAGCAACCACAGAGCGTCCTCACCATCATCGTTCATCCATCGGCACACACGAATCAACGACATCATCACAAAATCGACCAAATCATCACACGCCAATCCACCAGTCCCCACTAAGCACTACCGCCAAATCAACGCAGCACGGCACCATCAACACTCGCACAGCGAGCGAAAACAGTCAAGTCAATCATCCCGCACAATCGCCCACAACGCGGCACCATCAAATCATCAGCGGTCCTCACCATCCATCCTCATCCATCCACATCATCATTCATCATCATCAATCAATCAATCATCCATCATCTACAATCATCATCATCCCCACCATCCTATATCGTATCATCGAATCATCCAACCATATGAATATAGTCAT